AAATTATTGGGTCTTAATATCCCAGTGTCCAAAGTTCAGTAGCATCTGCCTGCACTGAGCCTAAGGTAGGTCTGCCCCTGATGGACACCTTTTTGCTGTATGACCTTGAATTCTACAAATTTGACAGCATCCAAGGTATGGACGAGAGGGACGATCTCCTCTAGTTGGACTATTACTGGTTGGCCTGATTAGAGGAGGGGCGCCATGAAGTATTGTTGGCGCATAAGTTGGATTGAAGATGCCAGTTTGTGGAGGTTCAACTTGTAGGATTAACAGTGGCAGGAAAAAAGAAATGGCTCAGATTTTGTTGCCAGCAACGAAGCTTCAAAATTCAGCAATTTTTTATGAAGCTCCTCAAAGATAATGGAGGTGTCTCTAGCTTGGACAACACACACTAATTCCTTGTATTTATCATCAAGTCTATCAAGATTTTTTTCTGTAAGATCCTCTGTATCAAATGGTGCTCCAAGAAGAGCAAGTTCATCGGCTCGTACTTCGACAGTCTGCAGAAATTTAGTCACGATTGCGGGTCCCTTATTGAGTTGTTTGAGTTGGCTTTTAACTTGTCTGTTGCGTCCACGCTATGCGTTGGCTAAGATGGTCCATGCTTCACTGGATGTTTTGGTAGTAGCAATAAAAGGTATAATAGTGGCGAGATTGAAAATTATATTTCATCTTTCTCATTGAAGAATGATTAGAGTTCCTAAATGGTTGTTGCAAATAGCGTCCTACTTCTATGATTTATAGATAAGAGTTTTGTTTGAAATTACAAGATATTTGACGAAGTAAACAATTCAATTGGAAAAATCTGAGGATGTAAAGAAAGATTAATTTATTGGGATATCTCAATGTACTAAAGTATTTGACAAATAATCACGAGCTTTGAATACAATTAATCTTAATATTTAAATCAAACTTTAAAAAAGAGAAGATATAAAAAAAAAAAAGTCTTCTTCTGCGTAACAGGACATTCTATAATTTTTTACTAGTACAAAACACTACGAATAATGTATCTGGTTACAAAAATAATTGGTGACCAAATAAATAAGCCTCGCCACTAGGGACCCCTAATAAATAAAAGAAAATATAGTTAGTCCTCCAAATTATTTGTTTTGGGAAATAAGGTCATTAAAAATAATTTAGAATTTTTTTTTTTTGGAAATTAATGAATTGAAAAATTGAATATTTATATTTATTTATGGGAGACGCTACTTTCATTCATCAATTATTATATGGGATAATAGCAGTTTAGGCCCCAAACCTTTCAAACAATTGTAGATTTTCCCTTAACATTTTAATCGATGCAGCCATCACCTCAAACCTTTCAAACCGTTGCAAATGAGGCCCAAATGGATGGATTTTATTCATATTTTTGTTAGTTGACCAAAAAATAGAGTTTGATCATTTTTTTTTATAATTTCAAAAGGGTAAAATAGTAACTTTCTATTTACCAAATTAAACAATTAAATTAATTAAATTAAAAATCAAAAAATAAAGGAAAAGAAAAGTTCATCTCCTTCTCCCAATCCCTCCACCCTAAATCCAAATCAAAACCAAAACCACAAACACCGTCGGTTCCACGATTACACCCACCCGTCGCCACCACAACAAACCACTATCATTCCTACAATGTCTTCAATGATCCATGGCGTCCGGTAGAACTATTCGATGTAAAACCACCATCACTACAATAGTGCTAGTTGCTAGAACTATTCCAAATTGATTAGGATTACCACCACTATTAAAAATGAATCCTTCCTTGGATGGAACGTATTGGAGGAAATAAGGTATATTGTTTTGAAGGTGTATAGAGTTTCGACAAGAGTTTAACAATGTAGGAACCTTGTTAAACCAAACAAGAAAGATGGTAAAAACAAAATGGGAAATCGAGAAAGGAAATGGGAAAAAAAGATCTGAGGCAAGTGTTTTACTTTAAGACGAATTTGTCTTGCAATGATGCTAACGGGGTTTAGTGATCGTCTCCCAAGATACAACGGAGAAGTCTTTGTAGTAAAAACACTTCAAACTACAAGGCTAAGGCGAACCGAACCAAATTTTCTCTCTACACAAAGAATGGTTTTGTATGCAAGAAATGGAGTGATTTTGCAAGAGTTTTTCATGCAAGAATCAAGTAGAATGGTTTTTGGATGAATTATTAACGGGGTTCAAGGAGTCCAATTTATAGAAGGTAAAAGATTGTAGCCAAAGAAACACGCTTTAAAACTCAGTATCTTTCATCAAAGGTCACAGCCCTTCGTAGATTTCGAAAACGTTATTAATAGAGACCTGGCGCTGATCGACGCCTGGCTGGCCCTCAAGCGCCAATCACATATGCTGAATTCCTCGTTTTTTCTTATAACTTTGGACTACAATTTCTTATTTATCTAGAATTAGTTTTAAGATTCCAAATATAATATGATCATCTACTCGACGAGTGGAACAACTCAGTCTATTTATTTTCATAATTTGACTATCATATAAAGTCCAAATTATTGACCAAAATTGATACAAAGTCAACTTTTCAAATTTTACTTAACCAAATCTCATGTACTTTAAACCAAATTCCAAAAATTCTATACATAAATGGAAATTTCATATATGCAAACGATAATGCAAACACTGGCAGAGAGGTAAGTGGAAAAACATCGTATCGGCGAAGTATCTAACATTTCTTATTGAAATACTATCGAATTTACTAGCTAATTGGTGAACACAATATCTTAAACAATTGGGCCGTTAGTGTAAACCAAAACAATAGTACTCGCACAATGTCTTTCCTATACCTTTTCGATTCTCATGTTCATTTTGACTCTGAACCATTCTTGGGTTTTATGAGTGTTTTAGAAAATTTTAGCCTCAAACAATTCTATTAGAAGGGGTCTCACTTTATACTTACATAGGTGACCTCTTATTAAGAGTATTTTGCCTTAATATACTTGATTTAATTAAGATATAGGAGTCATTAAAAGCATATCTTAACCTTTTAACATTCTAAAGAAACTGTTTTGATTATCATGTGAATGAGTATGAATTATTTTCTAAGTGCTTCATGGAATCTTGGTAACTGAATTGTCCCATTAAACCAAAATCTTGGGATCTCCAATCAACAAATTTGAGTTACCATTTTAAAGACTCTTATGCAGTAGGATTTAACCTAATTCCCTTCGATAGGCAATATATTTGATCTCTTGGAAAGCCTATCGTAAGTGA